TCTATCTATAAGTAGTTAGTTCCTACTTAATTAGTGTCGTAATAAACTAAATAATACTAGTAGGAATAAATAACACACACTACTTTGTTTGTGTGTGTGTGTGTGTGTGTGTGTGTGTGTGTGTGTGTGTGTGTGTGTGTGTGTAACAACCTAAAACATAGAGTTAGTTTCTCTGGTACACACATATAAAAGGTACCTCTTAAAGCAGTGTCCATAAGATTTAAGTTAAGGAAGAGTTCTCACCTGTTTGAAAATTCATATTGGTCTTTAGGTGGTGAAGGAGGCAAGTTGGGATCCAGACTTCTAATGTTTGAGAAGAAAAAATAATGTTCATTATAATTTGTCACACATGCAAACACCAAAATAAAACAAATGTTTCAAAGAAATCATACAAAAATAGAAAAAGTATCTTACTTCTCGGTGATAAATTAAAGCCCAAATGATTTCACATGTAATAAAACATTTCAATGAACAAGATAGTGAAAACAAAAGTTATGAGAAATCTAATAATATTAGAATAATGCATAATACAACATTATTTTTGAAGATACTTCAATTTCATAATAATTTATACATTTATAATTAAGTAGCGCATGTAAGACAGAGTTTGATGGTAGAGAATGTGTTGTATTAGAAGTATCTGAAAAAAAGTAAATTCAAAAAGCAGTGAGAATACATAACCCCATCAGTTTAACATCCGAGATATGCAGGGTTCTTAAAGACCTTATAAAAAAAAATTGGGGGAATTTGCAAGATTTTTCCAGCATCAATATTCAAATTCCCAAGGACTCTTGAATCCTGTCACACATTGATTAAACTTGTATTTTCTTGGAATTTTTGTTAAAACATGCCTTGCAAGACAAAAATATTCACAATGGCCAACTTTAGCACATTGAAAATAAATTTAAAATGAAAGTTTATAATTAGAAGACATGGTTGCACACAGCCTAACTTTAGAAATTCTACTGGTATCTTGAAGTTTAAGTAATCTAGAGTATTTTCTTTCAAACAAATCAATGATTTAATAATTATCAGATGACTTTTGAGTCACTTGGGCCTTCCCCAAAAATAACCTAGAATAAAGTCAAGTTACACAACTAACTTTAACAACTTTCACAGCGACCCTTCCAGGTGAGATACACAATTACAATTATAATAAAAATGGAGGTTTCATAAACCAATTTGATTCCATTTTTAAAGTAGACTTACTAATAGTATACCTACTCAAGATAGGGCAGACAATTTCCAGCACTTGGTGACAGAGGTGCTTCAAATAAGCTATAAATGAAAAAATGCATTTAATCCAGATTGGAAATGTGAAAATTCACTTGAAGAGATGATTTTATTTAGAAGTAAATCGTCTCATACTTATCATAAACTATAAAGTTTATTTTCACTAGCAAAAAGGGTCAAACAGTCCACTGTCTAATCGATCACTTCAGGAGGTTTCTATAATCTGACCTCTTCCAATTGTGATGGTAATTAGCAGATATGTTGTGCCATAGATGTAAGGTTTAGCAAAGTTTCATGTCTCTAGGTAAAATGTTTTTTTTTATATGACAACTCACCAAATATTTGACAAAATGGCTCCCAAATGAGACCAATTCCATAAAAGTACCAACTTATACTTTTAATGCTACAATAAAAGTAAATTATTGATGGAAGGCTAATGTTCTAGCCATTTATTTCATTTCACAAATTTTTGGAATTTGGACTTTTCACCTTACACGTACTGTCAGCCCCAACACAGATGGCCAAGATGTTACAAGCTTTAAGCTACTTATGATAAACAATCGTGGTTTTCTGTTACAATTTGCAGTCCTTTCAGAAAGAAAGTAGTGGAAATTTAGAATTATTTCCTAATTTTTTTATGGTGGTTACAAGGTTGGTCAAATCAACCGACCTCATATAGTTAGGGTAAAGAAAATAACACATAAAATATAGTTTTTCTAGAAAAAAAAACATTTGATATAAATATATATATATTTAAGAAGTTTTAGGGATTATGCAAATGATATTTGAAAATTTTCAGGTGAAGAAAAGTATTTTTAATCTTATCATGAAAGTTACTTTGCACTCATAAATAGAAATAACATGCAGTGTAAATTGTAAATAAAGTTATTCATTGAACATTAACATGCTCTATTCCACTTGCAGAAGGTAAACATGTAGTGTACATTGTAAATAAAGTTTTTAATTGACACTGAAGTGCTTTTTTCCTTTTTGAGTTTATTAAATTCTACCTTGAAAATCTCATTGGGACTCTTGATAAAAAAAAGTTTAGAGTCCGGGACTCTTCACCATGGGACCCTAGTGAGAACACTGTAGCACTTCTTTGGAGCCAGACATGGGAAAGGGTCCTATGATGACACTGGTGAAACCATCAAGTGGCTCACAACAAAAGAAAGTCTTCAAAAGCCAAATGATCCAATCCTCACCCCAAGAGCCATTTTCAAATGGTCTAGGGAAGCTCTCCATGACTTTCATTTTCAATAAAGGAAACTAACACCAAGGATAACATCTTCCAAGTTTCATTTAATGCATCAGTGACATTAAAAGGAACACATCAGTTCCATTCTTTCTGTCCATTTGATGAATCCCTCTAAAAATTGACTGAGGGATTATTCTGTCCAAGATGTGCAAAAATAACTGAAAAATTAGCAGCCTAAGAGAGCTTATCTCAATGGAAGATATTGTGAAATATGTTACCAGTGAATATAGTGGCAAATGGTGACTGGCTCTTGAAAACCAACTGTGGCAAAGTAAAAAAGGTCAGATTCAAGTTTTGTATTCTGTTGGTCCAACACAGTTTTTCATAACCATGGCATCCAGACATCTTTGTTGTAAGACAAGACCAAATCCTCCTGTTTGTGACCCCCCCCCCCACCATGGCAACAGGAGGAATGTAGAAACTGCCAGAGAAAGAACAACAAGAGACAACAACAGTACACAAGAATGTCACAAAGTGTGTCAATATAAATTGTAATAATGTTACAAATTTAGCCATTTATGTTAACTTATCTCATTAAATTAACCTTTCCACTATCTGTCAGAGTCATAACCATTCACATCCTGTGCTCTGCCAGTGTTGTTACATTATTAAAAGCATGAGTTGAGTAAGTTATTTTTACCTTCCAGTCATTCCTAAATTTATCATCCATGAAATTACAATGACAATGCAATGAGTGAATACCTTCTGATCCCATCAAGATCCCAGACCAAATTTTAGTACAATCTTGGATGATGGTGTTAACTTCAGTATTATCATTTCTTGCTCATCTGTGTTGGTACTAACAGTCTAAGGAAGTTTAAAGGTCAACAATTTAAGGTCCAAGGTATAAATTCTGAATGTTATGAAAAAAATAGCATATTTGACTGGAGCACAAAAACAGCTCTCCAGCAACAGTATAATTTTTTTATTTTAGCATTAAAAATAAATATATTACTGGTATCTTTAAGTCATTGGTCTTGCCTTGGAGATATTTTGGTTCGAATATTTGGTGATCTCTTGCATAAAAGCCATTTAACCTAGAGACATAAAATTTGGTAAAATCTTTTATCTGTATGACACTAATATCTCTGTCAAACAGCACCAAAGTTCATAAAGCTCCAGTTTGAGGGTGATTGACCTGACATGAACTGATCCAAAAACATTCTCTGTAGACATCAAAATGAATGTCAACTATTAATGTCTTTCCAGTTAATTCTGAGTGTAGCATGAAAATCAAGTAAGAAGGTGAGATTTAGCTCCCTTTGACTTAAAAATACTAATGATCTCCAAAAAAAGACAATAAACGTAGCAAGAAAATTCGCCTATTCTATTGCTTTTCCTGTTCATTGTAGTATTTGTTTGAAAAATTGTTTTGGATTAGTTTCTTTGTCTTTTTAATCTTTCATCCAATTAACAAATCTCTTAGACATATATTAGCTCTATGCAAAAACTGATACTATAAATACTTCTTGTAGTAAAGCTTCAGATCAATTAAAATATTTTAACTTATTAAAAAATACAAATTAATTTACATTCTAATATTTTCCATATATTTAAAATGCCTTTAATTAACATTTTACAAGTTTTACAAACCAAGCACTTTTTCTCTATTCAAATACTGTTGAAAAAATGATTTACCAACATAAATTATTCGCTCGCTCTGATATTCACAGCTGACAAGAAGATCAATGTGAAAAGCCGAGCTCTGAATAAATTTGTGCAATACTTACCGTACTTCCCCCGAATTATATAAAGATGAAGAAAGCATTGGATCTTCTGAACAACCATTTCCAACTGGCCAGTTGTGTCGGTGCTCAGAGAGAACTGGTTCTGAAGACAAAAATAATCAGCATTTATAATACAAGTAAAACTAAAAAAATACAGCATCACCCCTACCATTGTTCTTCGTTTATAAAAATGCCTACTACAGAAAAATAATTATGTATACTCAATCTACTAGTTATTTCTTAACTGCTGAACCCCAAAAGTTTTCAGAGCATAGGCCAAGATAAATGTTCTTAAACAAGCTGTCAAAAAAGGATGTTTTACCTAAAAATAAAAAAAAGTGATTTTGACTAGCTCTGATCAGTAAATAAGGAGACTAATGACAAGAAACTAAGTTTCATGTTAGCATGTGGGTTGGTAAAACCTTATTATGGAATTTTTTTTTTAGGTTAGCAAAGGTAGGAGTATAAATACACAATAAATAAAAAAAAAGAAGAGTAATTAAGAAATGATGTACACACACACGCACGCATCATTCTGAATATAGTTCTATATATAACTGACAAAAACTTTTAAAGATCAATTCATACTTTAAACTTCACACAAACTACAGGTATGATGCATGTTGTGTAACTCTCAATAACAAGTTTCTAAAACAAAGAAATGCCCATAAAGTCTATTAAAGTTAAGTAACAGCAGCATTTATAATGTGTTTCTTTTAAATGATGACATCACCACAGCCTTGACCACAATTCACAAGTATGTTGATATATTTTTTTTATTATTACTATTTTTAAGATAGTAAACATGCCACAGTTTTAATGTTGAATCTTGGATATCAGTAAATTAAACATGACAGTAAATATCTAATAACTAAATCTTGACTAAAAGTCATCTAAACATCTACACAATAGTGTATTCAGATAGATATAGCTACAGAAATAACAACACTGGCACTTAAAGAAAGGTTACAGTTCATATGCAGTACAACCAGGTGGCACTAGTTACAGAAAAAACCACTGGTACATAAAGTAGAATATTAAAATACATACAAACTATAAATAATTAATTAATTTATGTTATTTTTAATTTATAACCAAAACAATTCTTACTGTTACAGTCCAACTTCATCAGTAACTAAGTAAGATACACCCTTTTCAAAACAAGTACATCAATGTGTATAAAGATATATCTATACAGTTGGAAGTTATGCACATTGATTTCATAACTCACAAAACATACCTTGTTGATTTTCATGATCGTCTGAGAAAGTAAAATCAAAAGAAGGAACATTATGTTCCTCACTGAACACCTCATCACTACTACAGCTCAAGTTTGTATTAATAACAGGATGACGTTCTAACAAAGGATGAGAAATTTGACTGCCACTACCTTGACTGGGTCGTTTTTCTTTATGTCCACATGAATGGAAATTATCATGCCATATGCTACTACCACATTTAGGGTTTGATGTGTAAGCAGTCTCGTGCTTGATCTCCCAGCTCTTTTCAAAATTCTCTTTACCATTATCAACAATATGTTTGCTGGCTTTTACTGCGTTCTTGGAAGTGTTGAAAATTGAATGACCAGAATGGGATTCCTTGTTTTCACTAACATAATCCTCAGAGACTTGTTCAGAAGGATGTACTAAGTTCTTCCTTTGGTCATTTCTAGCAGTACCAGGGAGCTTGAACTGTAAAGAAACATTTTAATAACTGACACAATTAACAAACTTAAGAGAAAATAATTTCTAAAAAACAAACAAGAAGCTTTACATAAATATATTTTTTAACTTACATCAACTAACTCCAGTAAATGATGAAATAACAGTCAACAATAAAAAATGCAATAAAAATTAAGTTCAAATGTACTTATAGTCCAGATATACAAATAGTAATCTTAACTCCAGTTAGCTAACCAATAGACGAACTTAAGCAAAAACAAGAAAAACAGGCAGAGAAATAGAAAAAAAAATTATTAAAAAGAACACCAAAATGCTGTCCAATTAATGAAAACACACACTCCTTCAACTGCACAATGTAATCTCAGCATAAGACATACCTGCCACAGCTTGAAAAACTAGCACAACTCTTGACTTAAAAATAAAAAACCAAATATGGTAAAATAAAAAGCATGGCATACTAGTAATGATTTGTCATCTTCTAATATGATCAAGAAAAAATGCAATCTCTGGATTTCATTGATCTAGAAACAACACAACAACAGTCATTCAGATTACATGTTCTAACTAATAGAACTAATAGTTACTATGGGAGACCAGATTAAGCTGACTAATTGAAAGGCAGTCAAGTGAACAAAAATAAAACACTGCCCACCTAAGCAAACCCCTACACAACTTGTAGAAATTTGTAAACCATCCTTGTTTAATATTTTTTTAATACAAAATTATCCAATAAGTGTTAGTTCTATTTGACAGACCTTTGTTTAACTGTTGTAACACGTTACATTTCTTACATCTGAGACCACAAGTATACATACCATATCTTTGGATACATGTAGAAGTTTAATGACACTTTTATGGAAAACGGTCTCTCTCTCTTACACATCACATGTTGCTTTATTAACCTGTGTTTTTTGTTGTTGTTTCAACATTATTTAATTCAGTTTGGAATTTCTTTATTAACTTGGATAATGTTATTTTAAGATTTTTCCTGTAAAATAATTTATACTCGTCAAGTATCATTTCCTTCAATGTTTGTAGCGTGTTTTGATAGTTTTGTTTTTCTTTATTGTTGAGAATTTATTTTGCATTTTTCAGCCGATTCTTTTAAGTGTAACGCATCTACATTGTACGCTTTTTTGTTTTTAGGAACAAACAATTTTGGCTTCATATATTTACAATTATCTTACCTATACGAGTTTCATTAGTTTATTGTTAGTTACTTTTCTTGCACTATCATTCTTGTCTGATGATAATAGTACCGATTATTTTCTACATTTATTATAATACAGACTTTTTATATTTCTAGTTTGCCCTAATTGTGTATCCATTTTTTTTTTACTTTTATTATCCTACTTTTGCATCACATACTGGTAGTCCTAAGCTATAAAAGAATTTAACTTACCCTACTTTTTTTTTTAGGAACAAGTAGCAACTTCCCTACCGGGGCAAGGCGTTCTGCACTCCGCTGAACTTCATGAAAGTCATGCTTGTCAAGCAGTACAAAAGAAGAACCTGAATTACCCCCAAGGTCCAGAACAGGTTCTACACCAGAAGAATCAACTTCTCGACGCTTGGCCTGTGGAGGATGAGGACTGAGCTCTGCCGTTGTCTCTTGATGAATACGATCCCACCAATGCATGATCTACAGGTTTTCAGAGAACAAATGTTCTCATTATTATATATCATACAATTAGGTCAGACTTGTATTAACACTTTTTTTTACTCTTTCAAGTGGAGAAATATTCAAGTTAAATAGTTTCTAAGTTTAGCTATTTTTTTTATGACATATTTCAATTGAATTAATCATAGTTTTAAAAAATGAAAAAAAAAACTGCAAGTTTCCCCTAAACTATCATTAAAAATATTCATACACAGTTTTCATGCTGAAGGAAATTTCAGTATTTCCAAAACGCACAACAGTTGAGGCCTGTAAACTTTATGCAGCAAAGTAAATCTACAATATGAACATAGTGTAAATTTTTAAAACCTTGAAAAGTAATTTAATGTTCAAATCTTATCTTACTTAAACATCAATGAAGAAATTTTGAATGATTTCGTCAAAGCTTCATAGCAGGATGTTATAATCTAATTACTTACAAACTTCTGATAACAATGTCAGCTTACTATGTAAATCAGAACATAAATAATTCAAATTAACATTAACCAACCCTTTTTCCCACCATCTTCTGTAAGTAGGTTAAAATACTGATATTTATTTCTGGCTGAACCAGTCCCCTTTCCCCCCCCTCTGTATTTTAAATAGTTCATTGAAATAATGTACATTCTTAGACATTTGCCTGTAAAGTTTTTAACTGCCTTAGTGTTTCTTACATGACAAAAGAATAGCCTGCATAAGTCTTAAGAACATAAAACATTTAGAGCAGAAAATTATTTTCACAGCAATTTAACTGAGTAAACCATTAGATAACATACAATAAAACATTGAAAAAATTACAACTATTTGAATAACGGCAATTTATATAAAATTGGAGGTAAATCGTTTTTTGACTAGAGGGGTGGTCAATGATATCCCTCCAATATTTTTTTTTCCCTTCTTACAGTAGAAATACTTAGCTGTATTACATGAAATTTAGCACAAACTAACTAAACAGTTTCTTTTTTGCTTGAAGAAATTCATATAACGTGATTTAATATTTATTATTTTTCAACTTTTCAACTTTTGAAATTATTTTGGAATACTATTTAGAAAAAACATTTTTTACAAGTTTTTTTTTACCATTTATCAGAAAGTTACATTTTATATATCTGTGGTCTATGAATATACCATGAATTTCTATCTTAAATACTATTACATTAAAGGGTTATTCGAAGTAAAGTGATTTTCTTAGAATGAAATGTTTAGCCAGTGACCATTTTTGTTAAAAGGTGATGCAAGTGAATCTGTAACATCCATGTTAAATCATTTATTTTTAGCAATGAAATGTTGTATTCTACTTTGGGTGTATGTTAAATCAAAGGTAAATTTTGTATTTGTAATTTTATATTTCAATGCTTAAAGATATACTGCTGCATTGTATACTGAGAATCCAATTTTTATTTTTGTATTACATCAAATTATATTTGCACAATTATGGTGTACATTGTTAAAGGGTATTACTTTGCAAGTTGCATAAAGCATGCTAACCTTAACATAAAGTTTAAGGACAACAAGGAACCTATTTGTCTATTTAAGTCATCCCATCCAGTACACTTTAAAATAAAAGCACTCAAAATGAGCCCTTTTCAACCAAATAACCGTCAAGCCTTCCCTTAAATTTACTGCATCTACCACATAGGAAGGTAACCCATTTCAACAGCCAATAACCCTGTTAAAAAAATAAAACTGTCTCAGCTGAAGACTCCTACCTGCTCAAATTTGTGTCTCCTAGTCCTACCATGCCCATTTCTAAGTACAAAATATGATGATACATTAACAATCTTAAACAGCTCAATTACCTCTGTTGAAAAGACAAGTAATATTAACCAACTTCTATTCTTCTGCCACCTGCCCACTAATCAAGGACTTGCAAAAAATATTAGCAAGTGGCTCACACATCCAATCCTTTTAGGTAAATATTCTGACTTAGGATCTTTAAAATTGTTTGAGTGTTCCAACTTTTTTCTCAACAAGCTCAGGAATAATCTGATCATCTTGTATGGTTTTATTTCCATCTAGTAACTGTTCAAGATGAGGAACATTGCTTAAGTCTTAGTAGGTCAAAAATTGATGAAGTAGAATTTAATAACCCAGCCATCCCATAATCATTAGATATTAGCATTCCTGCATCATCTCTCAGAAGCCCTATTTCCATCCTCAAATTTTGCTTACCTTTAATGTATTTAATGTTAATTTTTCCATTTTCAGCCCCCCTTTTTTTTCACATACCCTTTTCTATTTCCTAATTTTCTGTTTGACCAACTCTCCTAATCTTCCAGCTAGTCAATATCTTTAAGTGTTTAATTAAACCACTATGTATATTGACCTATATAATCTACTCTACCCAACTGTATTCAAATGTTGGTTATTGCTATTTTCAAAGCTAAGCTTCTTTTATCGTTGTTGTTAAAACCAGATGTTGCAACAAAGGGTAGTAGTAATAAAATTACTAGCAACGGAAAGAAATCAAATCACGAGAAACAAGTCATGTAGAATTACATTCAAGAGATTGTTGTTGTTTTTAATAAATATAATTCTATACACTATAAAATCAATAAATGCATCATATACAGGAAAGGCTAAATGCATTGTTTACAGGACGGGTTTCTTGGAGCTGTGTTTTTGTTTGGTTTTTTTTTTACTTTTCTTTTGAAAATTGCACTAAGTAAATGATACAAAATTCTAAAATAGCCTCGAGTTAAACAAAATATTGATATACAATTGTATTTATTTTTACATATATTTTAAAACGTAATATACAGGTGTGCACTTTGCACCTGAAGGGTACTCTCCAAACTGAATAAAGTAAACAAAGTAATTCTTAATTACCATCAATATGTTACTGAACAATAAAAGTTATAAAAATTATAACATGCATTTTTTATCTGTATCAGGCCCCTAAGATATAACTTACAATAAGATCACTTTGTTTCTTCTTCTCACAAGTAGTATATTGTGATATAGTTTCTGGTTCTTCATAGCTTGTGCCATGATCAAGACACCATGTCTTGATTTCATCATGCTCAAGTACTTTACCCTTCATCTCAGATTGGGGTTTTTCACCTGAAGGTCTACGCTCTTTACGCTTCCTTCCAGGGTGAGGGTAAACTATTAATGAAACCAAAGGATTAATCAAAAAAAATGAACTTAATAGTTCTTAAATCAACACATTTCTGTTAAATAAGACAAATTTCTAACTTTTTTTTTCATTATTCAAGAATTTGTCAAAATATTTGGAGTTAATTTTGTAGTAATGGCAACAATCAAGTAGACTAATAGAACCTCCTGTAGTACTGTAAGAGTAATGGTGGTAATATATTGCACTAGCTTAATGTATAACCTCCTATAGCAATGTAAAAATAATGTTGACAACAGATATACTAATTTATACGAGTCCTCATTTCATTATGTAAAAGAGCTTCAGCTCTTTCATTGCCAAAACTGACCGACAACAGCACTGCTCCAACCATATTACTATGTAATACATAAACCTTATTAGCCAATGAAAATGATTTTAAACTTGTATTTCTCCGTTACCACATTCTATTTCTTGATAATTAATCCAAAACCTCAATGCACTAACTCTACTGTGCTTTACAATGCATTAGTATACAATAGTCGAGGCTTTCATCTGTTGTACTTTGCATTTGTTTTTTTAATAAAATATGATATTCAACTAAGCAAGTAAAATTCTGTTTTGTTTGACAAGTACAATAAATAACATGCACATTAAGATTTATCATGGATAAAGTTAACAACAAAAATAAAATTAAAAATACTCACAGCAAAGGTTGATACGCAATTCTTTTTAAGCTTAGATAATAGTTTCCAAAATGTTCTTTAAACAAATTCTACTTACACTGCTCTGAATAACAAATGACTTACTCAAATTTTCCATCTTTGGCTGACTTGGTGTTTCCACTTGACTACTGTAAGCAGAAAATGATTTGTTACTTGTATTGATATGAATATTATCTTTAATTATGAGCTATTTCATTATTACACAAATTATCTTAGTTTAGTAAAATATACCTTCTTATTTCCTGAATAACTAAGCGTTATTTAGTCACATATTTAATTCCTTTCTGCTATATGGTTTATTTGCTTTAAAACACGGAACATCAAGTAAGTTATACACAAAGTACTGAATGTGATAGAAATTTTTCTCAAAGAGCAATAAATTACCACAAAATAAGACAGACATGCAACAATCTTTATACAACTAACATTATACTCCACAAAAATTAAGTACAATATGTCCATTTCAATAAAAATGAATATAGTTTAAATACAACATCTTAACTATTTGATTAAAAAACAAAAAAAACATATATTTTACTACCCATTCATATTCTTTCCACTCACCTGTTAACGAGGAGTGTTGGCACCTGGGAATCTAAAGAAACATCCTCAGTAATGTAGTCCTCCACAGGTGGAATAGTAATTGACAGCGGCTTAAGACTGACTGTTGGACTAATTGTTGATGGGTCCAAACTCATCTAGTACAAAAATTCAATAAAATTTACTTAGCTGGAGCATATCTTAAGGATATGTCTAGTTTTATCAGTCAGAAGTGAAAAAAATACTGCTTAAGAACCTCATTCAGTAACAGATAAAGAATGTTATTTTCAGTTGAAAACTAATGTCTTTTTCATAATGCAAAGAAAATATTACAGTGAATAATCCAAAATGATTTATCTTTGATACCTGTAGATTATGAAGAATGAATACCTAAAAAAATATTTAAAAAATTTAAATTCATAATGATTTCACTGCACAATATTCATTAGTACTGAGATGATGGTTATGTGGCTAAAGAGTGCCTTACTCCTGGGCTAGCTCTTGGCAAGTATTTGCTGTTATTACCTACTCAATCTGACATCAGGAGTACTGAAAAATATTATAATACTTGAAAAGCATTTGCCAATACCTCGGTTCAAGCACCACGTGCATTATGCCCTGAAGTTCCTAATTCTAAATAACCAGTTGTCTCACAGTTGCATACTTAGTAGGGAAACATGTCAATATTGTATCCATCTACACCGATCTTGCCTGTCTTAAAAGTTTTATAACTTCAATTACATTATTCAAGACTACAGTGAGATCAAGTTTTATCTTTGTTTTTAAATTAATTACTCTATGATAATAAATCTATAGTACATCCTCATATAACTGGTTATTGGCAAACAGACACACAGTTTAAAGCCAAGGGTTCAAGGCTGACAAAGGTATTCTTCATTTCAGGCATTATGGGATATGTTTTAAAACGAGTCCTTGTAGTTTTAAACTTTTTTTTGAAGGGGGGAGGTGTAGTGTCTTTTATATATGCAAGCATCAAGTACTGAAAAATGGAGAACACTGGATAAATTCTTAATTGTTTAATCACTTCAGGCTTGTGCTTTAAGCTATTCCTGAAAAGAAACAGTTGATAATTAACACAGCAAACTCATATTTAACCCCATCACTCAAGACAAATATACGTGGTTTCAGTTACCATTAAAAACAGAAGAAGAAATTTAGTTTAAGATACATCTCCTCATGAATTTGTTGCGATCATTTTGAATGGATTGAAGCTTAAGCCACAGACATTGTCCTCACATCCCAAGTTACAATTTTTAACATACGTCTGTGGCTTAAGCTTCAATCCATTCAAAATGATCGCAACAACCTCACATCCCAAGTTACAATTTTTTACATGTGTCTGTGGCTTAAGCTTCAATCCATTTAAAATGATTGCAACAAACTCACATCCCAAGTTACAATTTTTTACATATGTCTGTGGCTTAAGCTTCAATCCATTCAAAATGATCGCAACAACCTCACATCCCAAGTTACAATTTTTTACATATGTCTGTGGCTTAAGCTTCAATCCATTCAAAATGATCGCAACAACCTCACATCCCAAGTTACAATTTTTTACATATATCTGTGGCTTAAGCTTCAATCCATTCAAAATGATCGCAACAACCTCAC